CCCATATCGGTCATTCGCCCATCCACCAATTGCTGCTCCTATGATTGCTCCGGCGACTGCCATGCTCACAATGCTCTCCTATTTATGGGTCATGATTTATAGTCAGGATGCGCCATATATAATTGGTCCAAATGTGTTGCTAATGTTATTTGAATTTTTTTTGAAAAAACCATATTAGAATTAACTTAATATAACCCAATTAACTCGAATTTTGAGTACATTAGGGTCGATCATGGGTTTTATTGTTTCGTCAAAGTTAAGATTCTCCAAGTTGTTAAAACATTCTTCAGACCTCCGTATATAGGGTTATTTCTAAGTTGCTGGAAACGGATATCTGCCAGAAATTAGCCTAAGAATGATATATAATGGGTACAAATGAATGAAAAGAGCAAAACTTCCATTAGTTAGAAAGAAAGAAAGGGTGAATTAATGAGGTAGGAGGGGCATTGATAGTCACTTTCTTAAACGCAACCCCATCTAAACCTCTTACATAAGTTTTTTGAACTAATTTATGGACTGTAGCATGAAAATAATAATAATATGGTGGAAGAAATATTTTAAAAAATAATATAATTTAAAAAGTTAGAGATAATTTTTTGTGATTTGTGAGATTCTTTTAAATTTTATAATTTGAAAGATATAAGATTTAATTAGTAAAAGAGAAAATCTGAGGACATATTAAAACTTTAATAATAATATTATTGATATTATTGTAAAGATTTTTACGAGATGAATAATAATTGAAATATTGAATTGGATCACACGAGTAGTTTAAAAATAAGTGAATTTTGATATTTTTAAAAAGTTTGTGTGACTTATTTTGTTTATTTTGTTTAATATTTGTAATTTTTTTTAATATTTTTAAACTTATTTTATTAATATATTTTTAAGAGTAGGAACAATGTAATCAATTTTGATGTGTCATTAAATATCTCTATTTTTTAATATTTGTAATTTTTTTTAATATGTTTTTTTTCTCTTTCTTCACAAATTGTTGCATGACGAAACTATCCAGATATAAATATATTTTAAATATAACACGTGATTTTGTTCTGTGACCTAAACTTTCCAAATATTAAATTGTTTTGATTTGGATTCCTGAGCCTTGAAAGTTCAGCACAGAAGCCCAGACAGACACGTGTCCGCATCGTTACTAAAAAATATTAGAATTAGGAGAAGAAACTAAGCCCACCCTGATGGAGTTATTAGTATACTATTAAATTATTTAAAATTAATATACGATGCCCACTAAAAAGATAACACCAAAAGAATAATGATCAGCTATCAACCAAAATCCAGCTTCTTTTTTATTTTCATTTATTTAAAGCATAGCCTTTTCAAAAAAAATTATAATAAATTTAAACCATGTTAAATTATTTTAACTTATTTAGAAATATAGTTATGATTTTTTTAAATAATTTTTTATGTTAAAATACATTTTAATAATATTTTTTATTTTTTAAAAATATTTTTAAGCTGATATTAAAATAATTTAAAAATTAAAAATATATTAATTTATATTAATTTAAAATAAAAAAATTTAAATCTTTTTAAAAATATTTTTAAAATACAGAAACAAACAAACAATTCCATTTAAATAGAGATAAGTGAAGGCATAGGCTTTAATAAGATAGTTCTAGTATGTGATGTGATGGGGTGTTCTTTTGAACATTAAAATCATGTTTGGTACTTTAGTTTAACTGTGTTTCAAAGAATTTAGTATTTGGATTGTTTTAATATAATAATGTCAAAATAATTAATTAGAACGATGAGTACCTGTAACAGAGTCTCCCTGTCAACAGACTTGAAGTCATCTCTAATGTAAAGAAGAGCACCGGATATAACTCCTGCATGCCAACAAAATTAATTATTTGCTAATGTCAGAAATGATCTGCATGAGAAAGAAAGAGTAATTGCCTGTGTCATATCCAAAGAGAAGGCCACCAATCCCAGCAGAGAAAGCAAGGCGGAGAACGTAAGGGTTCTTCCACGCTAAAGAGAAGCAGTCTCTGAAAGCAGAGGCACCTGTCGTCCCTGTATGAATCCCTCCCTCCATTTAACCAGTAATTAGTTTCTTCAACACAACACAGAGGTTTACTTTCTCAAAACACACCATATATAATTAACACGAACTCGAGGTAGGTTAAATAACGAGGAGAGAAAGACGATGGGGATTATGACTTGGAAGAGGGTGAAAAGTATAAGCTTGCTAGATGAGGGAGAGAATGAGTGAAGACGGGAGAACAACCAGCTTCGAGTAAGAACTGAGAGGAGGAGAAGAGGATGGGATGGGATTTATACTGGGGGTATCCGGCCAAAGTCAATTGTAGTGTAAACCCACTTCGTCGTCGTATTTTTATGCTTCCCAGTCAGTATATTGTTCCGCGCTTTGTAACAGCCCAATAATAATTTCCAGTTTAAATATAACAAGATATGGAAAGTGCCCTTCGCAATAAGTTAATAATAATTTTTTAAAAAATATATTAATATAATATTTTTTATTTTTTTAAATTTATTTTTTATATCATCATGTTAAAATAATACAAAAAATATCAAAAAAATATTAATTTCAAATAAAAAAATTTCAATTTTTTTTTAAAGTATTTTTAAAATGCTAAAAAAAAAACATTCTTTAATAAGAAAATTCAACCCTACCTTAAAAGAAAAAAAAACTTATCATCACCCAACTATTATACAATATATACTACTAGAAATTTACTTAATAGTGGTGGATTTATCGACGGAATATTTTTGTTAGTAATTTGAGGTGGAATTTACTAATGTAATTACGAACGGAAAGTTCAGAACTAAAAAAAAAAAAAGACAGTTTGCTGACATGGAGGTTTTTGTGGGTGATTTTTACTGATAGAATCACCGACGAATTCCAAATGGCAACTCCTTACGGTGATGTGACTAGTTCACTGTTTAAAATACTGATGGAATTACCGAAGGATTTGAAATGATAGATTCATACTATGACGTGTTGATTTTTTTTGTCAAAATAGTCAACGGACTCATCGATGGATTATTCTGTCATGAAATGATTAGTTCTTAAAAGTGCATTTTTATCAAGGTTTTATATCATCATTTTGCACTTGAAATATCAATAACTCCTTAACTAAAGCATGTTTTATAATAACATATCTAATAATATAACAGACATTTAATTTGTGGTAAATATTCATTTTAAATACAGGCCTATCACATAAATGAAAAGATTGATTGATAAATTTAATAACTGAAATTGAAAGGACAAAGAGATTGTCAAACTTAGAAAAGAAATGTTGTTGTAGTCCAAACCGGAACACTGCTCGGTAATTGGGTCATATCTGAAGCTATATATCTCAGATTTAGGTCCAATTTATATGGATGGAAAGGTAAGACATAGGCCTACAACTTTCATATCACGATAAATATGACTGAATTTGGAAATTTTGTATGGATGTTTGATTTAGAGAATGGGGCAAAGAAGTCCGAATCTATCCCACAGCTCGAGCACTGTGTAGTGTTTGGCAGTCCAAATAACCTCCATTTTTTTCCTAAAAAGTTAAGATAATTTCCTACAATTTTTATGTTTTTAAATGGTTCCAATTCTAATGTTATCAATGACGTTTTGGGCAGACAAGAGAAGATAAGGATTGTCACCAAGTCAAAAGGTGGCCACCCACTTATCAATTAGTCATCAAATCAATAGTTCCCAATTTTGGCCTATAAAAGGAGACATTTGCCATGCATTTAGGCATCTTGGTTTCCAGATCAAGATCATGCTCTTGTTTTCTCTCTTTGTATTTTTTGTATTGTTTATGCTTTGCTTTCATTAATATCAAGTTTATGCCTTTGAATTCCTCTCCTTTATTTAGTTAACTTTTATCTTATTTATGTTCTTATTTTGTTTATTTATTTTTCTTTCTTTCATTATGTCTAGCTAAGTTATTTATGTCAAGGTGAAAAAGTTACACTAATGGTGTAAGAATTAGTGTAAACTTAATATGGACTTTAATGTTTTGATACTAACATGTTTTGTATTTGTTATCTTGTTCACTCTTTAATACTTTGCTTGTTAAATGACTAATTTAGATTTATTTTGTATAATACTTGGTACAACAAATGCTTGGCACTTTTATATCCCATACTGTATGGTATAACCGACACCTGAGTTATGAAAGGAACTTGATTTGTTGTTAACATAAGTTATAAGCATGGTTGCCTGATAATATTTGCGAGTATTAGCATTAATCGAATAAGATAACTAATGTAATCATGTT